CCGTGGGCTTCCCATCACCAAATCACCCATGTGCCATCATCACAGTCCAGTGCATTTCCCTCCCCCCACTGTTTTTTGATCCTTGAATGAAGTATTAAAGAAAGGAACTGATGGCCTCAAGTCATGGACTGTCTAGATGGTTCATGTCCTATCTCAATACATTGTTACAGTGTTTTACCTTAAAATTATAAAGTAAACCTGTCTTTATTTTCACATTTATTGTAATCAAAGGACATCTCAGACCTTAGAAACATTACTTACAAAAGCATTTTACAAAATAGGTCCCTTACCCATCTGAGTTGCCCGTCACTTGTGAGCAGCCTATAGAAGCCTCTGAAGTCACTGACAATGTCACTGAGGTCCTTGTTCAGCACATGGTGGGCAAGAGCATTCACAGCACAGACAACTAGTAAACAAGAATTTGGTTCTTGTTTATGTTTTGGGATGGAGTCAATAAATTGAGACAAGAAAACACCACAAACAACAAATGTGGGCATTTCATGAAAAACAACAAAAAAAAAATAAAAGGTATTATATTTTTAAAGTTGCCCAGTTATGTCTCCTGTGGTTGTCATAACTAATATCACACAAGTACAGTAGCTATTAATCTGTATAGAGCTTAATTTTTGAGCAGATGTAATAAATTTTGATTATTTGCCAAGTGAAAAGAATTGTTGATGTGAAAATTTAAATTTACTATGAACAGTGTTTGGACAGTCAGGTTCAAAACCAAAACTTGCTAGTTTGTTGTTCCAAGGAATAAGAGTATGACTTACAGTATTAACAAAAGGAAAAAGAAATTAATTTTCATTACTATCAAGCATACATCATATCTTGAATTCAAAACATAATACCCTATTAAAGATGAAAGGAAATGAGTTTGTAATTAGCACATAATTACAAGTAAAATGTTAACATACATGAAAACATTTTTCATAAACATTTAATTCCTTTATCATTAATTTACTTATGATATTACACTTTTCCTATGTAATTTCAAGATTAAATTTGGCCTTGCATTACCATCAATTATTTACTTTGGGTCTTTTACTTAAAAAGACTATTGTGTTCTTTCAGATGAAGATTAAAGTAGCAAAGTATATGGGAAAGACCTTCTAGAAAAGATCTTCTACAAAGATCTTCATTCTATTCAACTCTTAATGTGTCTGTATAACAAGTCAAACTAATCTAATCAAGCTATCATCTTAACCTGAAAGCAATTACATTACATTATTATACAGAATTCTGATGACCTTGCTTAGTGTTGCCATTGTCTCAGTATTAAATTTCTCAGGTCATTTCATAGGACAGTCATAGAGGCGCAGTTTTACCACAATCAGATCCTAGGCAAATACATTTGAAAGTACTGAAACAAGTCTAAGGATTTATCACCCCAAAACACGCTTAATCTCATCAAAAACACTGAAATGAGCTGTGTGACTTGCCTGGCCTCTGTGGAGTATCTCAGATGACTCCACATCTTCCCCCTCAGAGGGAAGACTTAGGATTAAACCAACCATTTGTTGTCTAGAGGTTTTGTTAATAGACACTGATTCAGTGTAGTTGAGATATTCATTCCCTACGACTGGGAGAAGATAGAATCCTCCTCACTCTTAGATGGTGGGTGCTCTTGGATTAAAGATGGCTACAGAATAAGAAAGTCTTATCATGATCTAGTAGAACCCTGTCTTAGTGGTGTCAAGGTTGCTATAAACCATTGATTGGAGCGCAGTTCTGGTTTGGACCACATGACAAATGCATTCAGCAAAAGTTAAGGATGATCTTATTTTTGTTAAGGATGATCTTATAAATGAAGCATAGGCAATATTAATATATTCATCTATGGTATGTGGATTTTCCTTGCTCAAAACAAGGTCACTGCAAGAAGTTAACTGAAATTTGGTGCATCTAATAGAAATATGGGTTGTGTTGTTCTAACTCCAATATGAGAATTGTCAAATTCAGACCTGCATGTTTGATGTGAAGGAAGGGAAATTTATAGGAAATAAAATTGGCTCTTGAAGGCAACTTTCTGCAGACTAAATCCAAAGGTTCTTTCCTGTGACTATGTGTGCCCAGAATTCAACTCTGGGACACTCCAACATAAAAGGACAAGTCAGTAAAAGGCACAGATGACAGTGGGTAACTGGACCCATGTGCTGGGTTCAAACTTTAAGGCTGCTGTCTCTTTAAAAATTTTTTCATTTTTTTTTTTGGATCATAAAAAAGTGATTAAGTAAGTAACTTGATAAAGGATGCAAGAAAATCATAGTGAGCTAATGGTATTTTTTCATCTTTAATGCAAAAGCCCTTAGCACACATTGAGACTGCAGTGAGTCACCTGAAATATGTAGCAAGGCTAAAGTTAAAAATGGGTTCTGTCATGTTGTGGTCTGAAAAAAGGCGGAAGTCAACCACATCACCACAAAGTGCCACTTATTAAAGCCACAAAAGGATGGAAATGGCTTACCCCTACTCAAAATGCACTCCAGGACAGCTGAGTGGGGATGGGAGTGGAGGAGGGGAGAATGCAGAAAAGGTCTAAAACATTAACTCAGTAACCACAGAGTCTTACTGAATATGCAATGTGTCTGGGGTCCCTTCACTGTGTGTTTAAGTGAACAAAGTTCAAAGTCTTGGTTGTTAACAGAGTCATTCCAATGGCCTGTCCCACGAAACATATTTTGTAAGTTTGTCGAATTTTACGCAACCTGTGAGAGTTGCACTGTGGGGTTGAAATATGGAAAGAAAAAAAAAAAAACAGTTTTACAAGGTGCTCAATGTATACCTGAGGCAATTTACATCACAGGAAAGGCTAATAACATAGCTCACAAACTTACTGTAATCAGTGGCTGCGAGCTCAGGGGAAATGTCAACAGTAAAACATTGACTGACTGGGGTCAGGGAACAGGGAATCATTGACGAATCTCCCTCTACCTGGAAGATTTCCTTTTTATCTTCAAGTCTCATGTCAAAGCCTACCTGACCCCTCTGGACTATGAACTAACCCTCTTTCTGTGAACTTGTATCTGCCTTTAAAAAACTATCCTCACGCCACACTACCATTTCTTTTACATCTGTTTCCCTAAATTTATGCATTCCTTTTCCTACTTTGTAGGACTGTCTCTCTCACTCTCTTTCTCTAACACTGCAATTATTATCATCATGGCTGGCACAGTGCCTAATACACAGACACATCTGGACAGATCTGGAGAAGGACTGCAGACAACATGATCACACGGCAGCCCTTGGCCTCCTGTATCCACATAAAGTTCTAGAAAAGTTTCCGTGTCTTCACACATACACCTTTTATCTGCCTGACAATGGTAAATCTTTCAGTGGGGCTAGACTAATTCTACAACCACAAGCGGGCTTACGGTACACATATCCACAGACAGATTGAATCAAAATTAGATTCAATTAGATAGGAGTATGACTCCTATCCTGGACCCTCAGTCTTCAACTATCATGATTTGGCTTTAGACTTTAGTGATCTTTTGAAATTGATCTGGTAAAAGACATCCTTTGGTATTTCTTGAATTTTGTGCATGGATTTTGTACTATGTGTATCTAAACACACACACACACGCAAATGTTTTTAAATATTTCAGTGAGAAAACACTTTGAGCAGCCAGCACAGAGTCTGTATGATGGAGTAAGCAGCTGTTTGGGTCACAATTTCCCTTCTCTAAAAATAAGGGGGTTCAAGATCACCACTGAGTTCGTACAGCTCTAAGAGGAAAATGACTTACTCCTGCTCAGTATATACTTTTTACAATCTGGTCTTCCCAGATGATAGCTCTGAAATGGGTAGGGCCAAAGGCCTTTGCTGCCATGAAAAACAGTGAACTTGAAACCAAAGGTGTGAAATATTTTGAAAAACAAGTAGACACATATACTTTGCTACATGAGAGCACATCTGGTCTCCCTGGTGTTCCTCTGCCATTAGCCTAGTTCTCAACGCTCGGCAGAGATATGGACCAAGATTCGAAGAGAATCGAGACTTTCCTGCATCCTGTTGATAACTTCAAGGAGGCCAGTTCTGCCCCTTTTTAATTTGTCTCAATGAAAAAACAAATAAACCATAAAACCAAGTTTTTATTTACTTAAGATACTGTAGAGAGAGAAAAATAAGATCAGAAATAGAATCTAAGTGATAGTTAAGCATTCTGCAATCTTAAGAGAATGTTCAACTCACCAACTTCAGTGCCTTTTCCCAGAGTAAAGGTAATTCCATATCCCTTGAGTCCATCTTCTGCATCAGTCTCTAAGACGACATAGGCAGCTGAATAGTCAGGGTCTGTGTGCTGTGGGCAAAGTGTTCCCCACCCAAAAGGTGCAAACATGAGAAGTCAAAAAAATAAATGCAAAATGGTATTATGTAGGATTGGAAAATGAAACAGTGGATGTACAGGACGAGCTCCAATCTTACTGTGCTACAAAAAACACATAGGAGCTCTGAGTGGATGAAAGCATTATCTTCCTTTAGAATTATAGCAGCTGTTTGAAGATATTTTAACAAGTGCAATTAGACATTTTTTTTAAAATTAAATCTTTTTTAAGATTTTTTTTAAATTTATGCATTAAATGGGGTACAGGCCAGAGGTACAGGGGAGGTGAGGAGATTCACCAGAGACAGAACAGGGAACAGAACAGGCAGATCAACTAAGTACACTGCTGAGGGGAGCAGCGGGTGGGTAGGAGAGGTCTGCCGCACCATGTGGGTCACCTCCGAGGCAGGGATTGAACTCACACTGAAGCAGCTGCGGCTAGCTTGCAGCACTGAGTCCTAACCCATTGTGCCACCAGGGAAAGCTGCAATTAGGCTTTTTTTTTTTAAATAATATAATAGTTTACTTTTATATCATTTTGTACATTTTTTTAAATCTCAATTGTAATTCCTGTGTGTTTCCCATCACCAAGTCACCCATATGCCATCACCATAGTCCAGTGCACTTCCCTCCCCCCATCATTTTTGATCCCATTCCCCACTGCAATTAGGCATTTTTAATGCTACTTTGTGCAATTGTATCTCCATTGCTGTTCAGCAACAAATACCACTGTTAGCTGTTTGAAGAGAGTTAATTCACAAGCAGCTTCAAATAGTACAAACTGAGGATTCAGAAGGCTCTCACATAAAATTAGACTTAACCCTCATTGTAACATTTTATAGCAGAGGGCCAAAAATATAATAGCAATAGTTCAGAGGAAATCACTAAGGGAAATGAGGAATTTAATTTTGCAACAATTGAACTTATGGTTTGTTTCATTCTTTTCATTTAACTTTCTATTATCAAACAATATTTTTGATAAGTACTTACTGAATGACTTGTGAAACCTAACACTGTTCATCAATACAAGGAGTGCAGAAGTAAAAATTCAAGTCTGTCGCTAGAAATTGCTCAAATAGTGAGGAGTAAAAGCTAATACACAAAAGCTAGGTAACAGTCATCAACACAACATAAGGTCATGGCTGACAAGTGGTGGGTTAAAAGTACCACAGAAGTTCAAGATATTTTGAGGAAATAGGGGACTAGTAGTAGAACAAAGTACACAGGTCAGGGAGATCATGAACTCCAGGGGCCTTCTGTGCAAGGAAGTCAAAGATCCATGAGGAATCTGATTTGCAAGTGAACAAAGACAAGATTGGATGGGTAGTGTGGAGGGAGACATGGAGACCCCCAAAAAGTCAACCAGAAGATCTGAATACATGAATAAGGAATGTAAGATGCCACTAGTGAAGACATCTGCACAGGCCCCTGACAGCTTATTTCTTTTACTGTTGTATAATACTTACTGACTGGGTATACTTCAAAGAGCTACATAATTTCATTTAATCCTTATGAAAACATGATAAATTAAGTGCTACAGATCTATCTCAGACGAGGAAGCTGAGTTGAAAGAGGCAAAATTTAAACCCCTGTGTTAAATAGAAATTAAAAAGACAGTCCAAAAGATCAACAAAACCAAAAGCTGGTTCTTTGAAAAATAATCAGACAAGCCTTTAACTAGATTCACTAAGAAGAAAAATCTATTAATAAAAAGAAACAGAAGTGAAAGAGGAGAAATTAAACAGACAGTTCAGAAATATGGAAGTGATTACTAGAAACACTGACACGCCAACAAACTGAACAGTCTAAAATGACATGGAAAAATTCTTAGTAATTTATAGCCCTCCAAGACTAAACCAGGAAGAAACAGAAAATGCAAACAGAACATTTGCAACCAAGGATATTGAAACAGCAATCAAAACTCTCCCAAACACTTAAAGTCCAGGGCCTATGTAGCTTCACTAGAGAATTCCACCAAACTATAAGAGGTGCTCTACCACCAATTGTACTGAAACTCTCCCAAAGAGCAGAAAGATAGAAAACATGAACACATTTTTATGGGCCAACATCACTGTGATACCAAAACCTGACAAAAATATTACAAAAAAGAGTTACAAACCAGTTTCTATGGTGAGCATACATGGAAAACTCAACAAAATTTTAGCAAACCAAATCCAACAATATATCAAAAAGATTATACATCATGACCAAAAGATTATACATCCTGGGATTTATTCCAGGGACATAGGAGTGTTTCAAAATCTGAAAGCCAATCAACACAATTCATCACATCAACAAAAGGGAAGATAAAAACCATATAACTACATTAATAGATGCCAAGAAGGCATTTGATAAGATTCAACATCCATTTATGATAAATACACTAAAAATATTTCAAGTAGATGGAAAATTTCTCAATATAATGAAGGCCATATACAATAAACCCACAGCCAACATCATACTCAATGATGAAAAATGGAAAGTTTTTTTTTCTAAGATCTGGTACAGACAAGGATGTCCACTTTCACTGCTACTATTCAACATAGTATAGGAAGCTTTAGCTAGAGCAATCAGGCAAGCAAAAGATATAAAAAAAATACAAACTGGGAAAGAAGTAAAATTTTCATTGTTTGCAGGTGACACAATAATATACGTGGAAAACCCTAAAGACTACTAAAAAACTGAAATAATAAATCAACTCAGTAAAGTGGTAGGATATAAAATCTATCTGCAAAAATCAGTTACATTTCTATAAGCAAACAGCGTGTATGAAAAGAAAGAAATCCACAAAACTATCTCATTCACACTTAAAATAAAAAGAATTAAATATCTAGAAGTAAACTAAACAAAGGAGGTAAAACACATATATAATAAAAGCTAGAAGATATAAGTAAAATAGAAGATAACACAATTAAATGGTAAGATAGTCCCTACTCATGAATTGGAAGAACAAACTTGTTAAATATAGATTTAATGCAATCCCTATCAAAGCTCCAATGGCATTCTTCAAAGAAAGAGAACAAACAAAATTGAAATTCATATAGAACCACAAAAGACCCCAAATAGAGAAAGCAATCTTGACAAAAAAGAGGAAACATGGCAGAATCAGATTCCTAGACTTCAAACTATATTACAACACTATAGTAATTAAAATGGCATGGAATAAAAACACACACACAGACCAAGGGAACAGAACTGAGAGACAGAAATGAACCTCACATGTATGAACAGTTAATCTATAAGAAAGGAGCCAAAAGTATACACTGAAGAAAGGAGAGCCCCTTTAACAAATGGTGTTAGGAAAACTGGATGGCCACATGCAAAAGAAACTAGGTCACCATCTCACATTTAGTGGTGGAAAAGGCGTGAAAGTATACATATGTAGAGGCTTGAACCTATAACCCATGAGCATATACAAAGATATAAACCTACTTTACCTCTATATACATAATGGGGGGAGACATAATGACAATTTCCCAAATTATTATGTGATATTTTCATCAGAATAACAAAGCTTAAGATAATTTTCACCTATTAAAAGGTAAAAAGAAACTTGTGTTAATATTAAAAGAATAAAACCATATGCAGCTCTATATTAACAGTAGCATTATTCATGATACCCAAGACATGAAATCAAATGCCCATCCATGACTGACTGGGAAAAGCTAAAAAAAATGTTCTTAAGACTCGGAACAATATGGTGGTTACCAGAGAGAAAGGGGAACTTTGTTAAAGGGTGTCCATTCAATAGTATAATGGCACTAGAATTATGCTGGTGGGTGATTATGCTGGGTGGATTATTGAGTAATGATCTACTCAAAAGTATAGTTTTGTAAACAAATGGTAAGTCAATAAAAGTTGACTTAAATATAATAAAAGTTTCTAAGTAAAGAAATAAACCAATAAAGAGGTATAAAAGATGGTGGCAGGATAGACAGGTAGATAAATACATGCAAAACAAAAACCAAAAGTCGAGAACAAGGTGGTTTTATAAATGAGTTCTAGCAAAAGTTCAAAGAGTAACTAATAACACACAGACAGACACAAAAAAAGGTCAGTTCCATTCATCAAATGATGAATTCATCAAAACTCCAAATACACATATTAAGGTCACTAAAATAGAAAGGATATAAACTGTCAGCCAAATGGAAAAGAATGTGAAAAATACAAGGAAGTTAGTATTTCCTAAACCAATATAGTTAATAAAACTAAGGGGAGTAAACAAAAATCATGACCATGAGGGTTGACAGTGAGGAGTAAGAAAATTTTTATAATTTTAAGAGGTGGACCAAAACATTTTAGGAAAACAGAATGATCTGAAAATAGTGAAAGCTTTTTTAGTCATGGAAGTATCAAATTTTAAAGGTTGAACTCAACCCACTTAATGCACTGACAATGAAATTTAAGCCCAGAGAGTTTAAGAGTGTAAAAAATTTGAAGAAAAAGTCAGTTCTAGAACCCAAGTCTCCTAACCTTATTCCAATGTGGAGGGAAATGAAGTATGGCTGGGGGGGCTAAAAGGAGATTGTACTCCAAGTAAGGGGACTAAACTCAGTATTGGGGCTCTCTGAAACTTTGGGAGCATCTAAGTAAGCAAAGAAGTCCTAAATACATCCCAGGCTGAGTCTCTACTTTTCTTATAAGGTCTATAAAAATTCATAACTGAAATCCTTTGCATAACAGGTTGTGGGGGCACTTTTAGGGCTCCTTCATGGAAATACACTACTTGTGATCAGGAAGGCTCACTGCTGCTAAGTGCGAATGCAGCTGAAATGCTGAGCCCAGGAGCAGTGAGGGCAGGGACGCTGTATCACAAGCTACCTATAACGGGAGAACTGCAAAGTTGCATATTCTATTAAGAAAGCACTTGAAAATCAGCACATGACACTCACTATCTCTGTTAGATAAACACTTAAGTATTTATGAGTTTGCAACAGGGGTGTCAGATAATATCTCCTGAATCAGAGATCATAAATCACTCTGTTCCAGAGACAAGTTCCATTTGGTAAACTATTCTACAGTAAACCAGGCTACCTCAACATTCTACAAATTCCTAAGTAGAGGGAAAGTCTAGGACAGAGCCCTTCTGCTTCAGTTTCCTCATATATAAACACTTATTGATGGACTGTCTGTCAGATTCTTTACAGACAGCTCATTGACAAGTATAAAGATAATTCTATAAGGCCCATTTTACAGATAAGAGAATGTAGGCTTGCAGAGATTGTGTGACTTCTTCCCCTCAGCTTCAGAACCTCAAAGTGGCAAAGGCCCTTGCACTAGGTCACATGCTTGAATTTTTTTTTTTAAAAGATTTATTTATTTATGGATACAGAACTGGGGTACAGGCCAGAGGCACAGGGACCGTGAGAGGATTCACTACACACAGAGTGGGGAGCAGAACAGGCAGAGAGATTTAGTACACTGCTGAGGGAGCAGCGGGCGGGCCAGGAGAGGTCTGCCGCACCATGTGGATCACCTCCCGGGCAGGCGGGATCGAAGTCTTGCGGAAGTGGCTTTAGCTTTCCAGTGCAGTGCTTTAACCCGCTGCGCCACCATGGAGGGCCCACATGCTTGAATTTTACAGTCAGTAAAATTTCAAACATTTATTTTTTTGAGAATCACAAAGGATTTCCAACAGGTTGTTTTTTAAGTCATTTACTTTAAGAAAGAATACATACATAGGATTTTAAAAAGCAGAAATTAATCTCTGGGTCAAGGGCATTCTTTTTTTTTTTTAATGCATGCAGAACTGGGGTACAGGCCAGAGGTGCAGGTGCAGAGAGTGAGAGGATTCAACTAGAGACATTTCAGGCAGATGTATTGAAATACACTGTTGAGGGGAGCAGTCAGCAGGTCAGGAGAGGTCTGCCACATCACGTGGGTCACCTCCCTGGCCAGGGATCACCTCATGCTGCAGTGGCTGCTTTAGCATCATAGTGCTGTGCTTTAACCCCTTGCACCACCAGGGAGGGCCCTCAAGGGCATTCTTTTAAATTCTGTTTAGATACCAGCTCCTACCTTTTTTTTTTTTTCAACAAGAGGCCCATTGTTATAAAATACTTCAGGTACACAGACAGGACAGGCAATGTAGTGATGCCAGTGTGCCCTTTGTCCAGTTCAAGAAGCAAAACATTAACGGTGGGAATTAGAGTCCTCTGGTCCTAATCCCTCCCATCCCTACTAACCAGAATCCTAACATGGATATTACTCATTTTCCAGCATGCTTCACACATCCATTACGCACTCATGTGACTTTGACTTTCCTAGTGTTGCTATCTCTTCTTGGATGGAGGGGGTCAGTCAGGATCCAGGGGGTGACAAGCCTTCAGGAAAGCCCACACAGGACGCATATTCGCATATTTGGGAGCCAACTGCCTTAAACAATGGCGTGTGTGTGTGTGTGTGTGTGTGTGTGTGTGTGTGTGTGTGTTGGGGGGGCGGAGAAGTGGGGGTCTCTAACACTCAAGCAAAAGCGACCTTCAGTATTCAGACAGGAGTTAAAGTCGATGATCTTACTTTTTTTATTGAAACTTTCAAAGACTGCTATTTGCACAACTCTTTACAGTGACAAATTCTGTTTAGTGGTTTTCAGTAAGTTCACGACAAATCCCTCTCGCACAACCCAGCTAGTTCTCTTGGTTTCCCACTCAGGCTGTGACACCCGCATTTCATAGGTGGGCCCAAGAGGTCCAGAGAAGTCAGACTCTTCTCCAGATTATACGGCAAATTGGGGCGGAGTCAGAATCCCCAGCCCAGACCCTGCTCTCCACCCCCCTGCACCTCATAGTTTTCAGCACAGAGGCACCGGCACTGTTTAGGGGGAACCCAACAAAATCTATTTGCTGCTATTACATATTGAGCAAAATATTTCAACAAAAATAATCATAAATATATAAGGAGGATATATTAAATGCCAACAAAGGAAGGTGGTGAACTCTGGATACTTCTAGCCCGCCCCTCCCGGCTTCCCCCTTTACAAAACCACGGTTCCAGAACTGGGACGTCCCGGGACTCACTGCTCCCGGCGCCTAAGCGCCGGGAGCACCACTAGGCCCACAGCACTTACCATGGCGTCCGAGCCGTGGCCCCCGAGCGACGTGGGGAAGCGCACGTCGCGGACCCAGAGCCGGGAGATCCTGCCGCGCACCATGTCTAGCGCCCGAGGAGCAGCCCGCGCCGCCGCCTCAGGCTGGAACCCAGCGGGTAGAGTAAGGGCGTCCGGGAGGGCGGTGCCGGGCGCGCGACGGTGATTGGTCGCCCGGCTCGGGGGCGTGGCTCCGCGCGCCACTTGAAGCAACCGGACTCAGACGGGATCCCTAGGACGCGCCTGTACCGGCGACAGCTTTTACGCGCCGGCTCTGCCCAGGTGAGAAATTGCTAAGGGTCGGGGTGGACCACCGGCGAGGAATAACTACACCTCTCGCCGCCTGGGTGAGACCTCGGTCGGACTCTGCTCCTCTTTGGCTGAATTTCGACAGGTGACCTTCCTGGAAGCGGAGTCTTAGAGGAGGAATCCCGAACTGCTGTGAGGCTGTGATCGCCTAGAAGCGCGTTCGAATGCAGGCCTGGGCTCTCGCCAGAGTCCGCAGGTAGAAGCGGGTGTAGGGAGGGGCGCCGAGGGCTGGAACCTTAAGTCCTCAGCTGCGGTTTTACCACCTGATAACCTTAGCTGTGGGTCTACCTGCCTTAAATTCTGCTGAAGCAGGGTGCTTATCACTCATCCGTCCTGCCTTTCTAAGTAGGTAGATGAATTTCCTTTTATTGGTGAAGATGTGGGAACCCAGAGAAACGAAATGACTTGTTCGAGTTCATACAACTAAATAGCAAACTATCCTGTCTACAAAACCAGGGCTCCTGTCCTCTGGATTGTACTGCTTATAGGATCTGTTTTAGAACCTCGTGAACATCCATCTCCACCCAAATGTCAGTGATCGCTGAGAAAATACTCAATAATCAAAACACATGCAATTGGAGTACATTAAACACTCAATGAGATACCTCAGACACCAGCATGGCTACAATTAAAATGACTCCAATACCAAGTAGTAATACTCATAGGTATTTTTCTAAGAGAATTTAAAACCCACGTTCACACCAAAAATTTGCATTTGAATGTTCATAGCACTTTATCATTCCAAACTAGAAACAAACCAACTATCCGTTAGCAAGTGGACAAAACCAGCGAAGTATTTGAGCCATTGAAAGATTAATCTCAAAGGCATTCTGGTAGGTGTAAGGTGCCAGACACAAGTGACAAAAACTGTGTGACTCCATTTATAGGAAATTCTAGAAACTTCAGTTAAAGCAGTAATTAGTAGCTGCCAGGGTTGGGAATGAAGAGAGGGAATTGATTGTACATGAAGGCATGAAGGAACTTTTTGGAGATGATAAAGTTCTGTATTATGACTTTTTTCTTTCCTACTCTTTTATTTAAATATTTTATATATTTTTTTCATCATTGCCCTTTTTCTTTTTTTTTTTTTTTAGGATGCATTAGCTAACTCCATCAATATCTTCCTCTACTTGTGCACCCCAAATAGCAACTTGCCTCCATGAGCTGAGGCAGCACAGAATTACTAATGAATATAAACATGGTTTTATAGACTATTTTCATTTCTAAATTTGATGAAGATGGCACTACAGATATTTGAGGTTTCACTTATTAGTCTGTTAATACCATCATCGCCAATCTTATTAGGCTATGTTCAGCTGATAAATCTAGATAATTTGTATAGCATCTCAAAATATTCTAATGAAGGTTGAATATATGTTAATCATCTTAGCCTGAAGACCTTATGGTTTTATATAAAGGAATTTTATTTTTTATTTATTTTTTTAATCTTTTTAAATTATTATTTTATAACAGTTTATTTTTACATCATTTTGTACATTTTTTTCCCATCTCAATTGTAATCCCCGTGGGTTTCCCATCACCAAGTCACCCGTGTGCCATTACCATAATCATGTGCACTTCCCTCCCCACCCCACCCCCCGTTTTTGATCCCATTT